TCCTCCTCCTCCTCCTCCTCCTCCTCCTCCTTCCTCCCCCTCCTCCTCCTCCTCCCCTCCTCCTCCTCCTCTCCTCCTTCCTCCTCACTCCTCCTCCTCCCTCTCCTCCTCCCCCTCCTCTCTCTCCATCCCCTCTCCGTTTCCCCCTCCTCCTCCTCCTCCTCCTCATCCTCCCTCCTCCTCTCCCCTCCTCCTCACTCCTCCTCCTCGCCCCCCCTCCTCCTCCCCCCTCACTCCTCCTCCACCCCGCCCCTCCTCCTCCTCCCAACCATCCTTCAACTCCCTTTTGCTGTCCGTGCGTCCCCTCCAACCCCCACCCCGACTTCCACCTCTCCACGCCCGAGCTCGTCGCCACCTCTGCCCCCCCTGGTCCCGTCACCGCCCTCCTAAACAACGGATCATCTAACCGATCGACCATGCCCAAGACGGTCATCATGTCTTTGACGCTCTGCGACATCGGAGACGGCTTCGCAGACCCAGGAGACCGAGTGCCAACCTTCCTCAACGACGAGGAAGTCCCCGCGGTCAACTCACCAAAAAACTAAAGAGGCCCTCACCCCCTGGGGGGCAACTGGCCCAGGGGGAGCGGCCCAGCATCACACCAGAAGAATGCCAGCGCAACGACGGCACTTCCGACTCCTGCAGTGGTTACGCCGACGACGTCAAGCGCCGACTATTTGAGCCCCTGGTGAGCTACGATTCACCATACGACACTTCACAAGTTTCACCTACCCTCTCATCAGCCAATAGAGGCATGCGCGATGGGGAGAGCGCACCTCCAGACCTGTACGAGCACGGCGACATGTGGGAAATCCACACACCGCCCAACATACCACAGCCTAGTAGTGGACCGTGGACCATCCCCTCGGCCTCTACCTCTCGCTTGGGGAGCGCGAGAAGGCTGTCTCACACAGACCCCACACTAGAACCACATACGATAGCGGAACGACCAACTACTGCCACCCAACCTCGACGGCAGCATGTCGACTCACATCCTCCACCAGCGGAAGCCCAGTCACGGTCGATCCCGACGATGACGACGCCACCGCCTACACCTCGAGAGGATGCATCGCTTTGCGAGTACGACACAGGAGGGGGGCAAGAACGACTAGAGACACCAACAAGGCATCGACGCACTAGCCATTTTGGCCAAGATGGCGATCGAGACCGACAATTTTGTGACTCACCGAGCCGGCCATGTACATCAATTCCCTGCCGGCCACAACCTCCCAATTTTGACTCCCGTGAAGTTACCCAGATTCCACGCGGACAGACCGACCTGCCGAATGCGGAGAGCCACGAGGCAGTACGGCATGTTCGATTCTCGCGCGAGGTCCACACCCGCGACCAGCAGACCGACAATATCCTCTACCACATCGACTTCGACGAGCAGGAGCCCTTACTCCAGCACCTTCGACGACTTCAGGCTCCCAGGCTGACCTTCAAATTTACCGACCGATGCCACAACGAGGTTTCAGACTACATGATGCGAACATCCCCATACCGACAGCTCCTACGAGATTCTCGCCTGCACTTATATACCGACGGCTCCAAACACCCACGCCAACATGGTCAAGACGGATGGTCAGTTGTACTCGTCGGTGAAGACGAAGAAGGCTTCTCTTTTCAAGGCGCAATAGTCGGCAAGCACCGCGACTCCACCCTCGTGGAGATCCAAAACCTCACGGACAACGAGACCACCTCGACATCCAGCGAGATCACAGCGCTCATCTGGGCGCTCGCCTACATCATCCACAAGGACATCAATCACAGGATATCGGTCCACTCCGACTCGCTGGGAGTGATCCAACTGGCCAGGATGGAGGCTTTTACCAACCGAGACGCCCACCTCGTGCAGCTACTGGTGATCATGTACTCGCACGTCAAGGAATATGTCGACCTGTGTCACGTCCACGCCCATGAGATGAACCCCTGGAACGAAGTTGCCGACGCCGCAGCCAACTACGCCCGCATCGAGGACTACCCGCACCCACAACCTGAATGGGCTAACATACTCAACGCGTCCCCTCAGAGATGCTGGGAATTCCTACTCGACGCCGACAACCACACCAAGGACGCTTACCCATCCTTTTCACCCGGGATGCTCAAGGCCCAACGCATCGACACCACGGCAACGACAGCTCACCTCTCGACACCAACCAAGTCCACGAAGACCTCGACCGAGATAGATGTCAACATCGCCACCTACAACATCCAGTCAGGGCGCGAACCTGGCCACGGCGCTCGACGACGAAAAGAAAAGATACACAAGCTCAGAAAGACAATGCTCAATCTGTACATGGAGGACCTCCACCTGATCGGCATCCAGGAAGCCCGCACGCCCTGGGGAGTTCGCAGCGGCAACGACATCACCAGCACGAGTGCGTACGCCTACCACGTCATCTCAGGGGGGCACGATCAGTACAACCTCGGCTGCGAGCTCCACATACTCACCAGCAAGCCGAACGGAAAGGCAGGAGCCAAGGACCTCTACTTCCGCCCCGATCAGTTCACCGTCATCGAGCACAGCCCTCGGCATCTCGTAGTAAGGATCGAAGCCCCAGGATTTCGAAATACAGTCTGCGTCGCCCACGCACCACATTCTCGAGCTAAGCCACACGAAAAGGATACCTTCTGGGAGATGATTGAGTGCGCAACGTCTAACCACAATATCAACATCTTCCTCATCGATGCCAACGCTCGAACGGGAAGCTTATGCAGCCAGGCAATCGGCGATCAAGGCTTCAAGCAAAAGGAGGACGACAACGGCGAACGCTTCCACAGGGTCCTGCAAGGCAACTCTCTCATAGCCGCGAACACCTTCAAAAGCGGAGGCCAGGACCACTATACATGGGGCTCAGGCAAGGACGTACACAGACTGGACTACATAGTGGTTGGCCACGAACTTTTTGACTCGATCTCCTACACGTCCGTAATGCACGGTATCGACACAGAACACGACCACTCACAAAAGAACGACCACTTCCCTGTCAAGGCTAACCTCGCCTACACAGTCAAGACCACTTACCAGCACGGCACGCCCAAGCTCGACACCGCTAAGCTCGACTCCGAGACAGCCAAGAACGACTTTCAACGACGCCTGCAGCAGATCCAACACCCCCCCTGGGAGACCAACCTCAACGACCATACCAAGAGCATCGTCGATCAGATAAAGGACGCAGCCTACGCCAGCTTCAAAAAGCAGCATCATGCCCCCCGCAAGCCCTACATCACCGAGGCCTCCTACGCTCTTCTTCGATTCCGACGCACCCTCATCAAGACGATCCGCATCGTGAAAAGGAATGGCATTGGCTCCAAGAAGTCACGCAGACGGATCCGATACACCGCGCACCTCATTGCAAACCAGTCAGCATCAGCGTCCCCCGACGACGTCATCCACCTCATGGACATCCCTGGATACACTCAGCTGATGATCAAGACCATCCTCTTCATCAACCACACGGACCCCGACCATACCACGGCTCCACACCACGACGATACCGGTGGCACGACCACTTTCACTACGAACCTTTTCGACTCATACTTGAGCTTCATCCAAGACACCGACCGCATTCTCAGAACCCGCCTCGACCTTGACCGCGACGCCCACCTCGAGAGCTTCTCCGACAACATGATATTATCAGCCGCAGGGAATGCCCCGCGGAAGGAATGGGCAAACGTGAGGGCCTTACTCACATACGGCGGCCGAACGCCTAAGAGAACCCCGACTCCCAAAATACGCCAAGACGATAACGGAGCTCCACTCACGACGCCACAAGCCATTACGGAGCATGCCCTTCGATACTACGGCAACATCGAGAATGGCATCAACACCGACATCGAAGGCGTCGTCAAGCACTACAACAACAAGACTGCACACACAAAGCCGATACCCCACATCAACAACGTCCAGACCATCCACAACCTGACAGCCGCCCTGGCAGCCTCCAAGAAAGGCAAACGCGGCGGGCCCGACGGGAACACCGACGACATGGCACGAGCAGCGCCGCGCCAGATTGCCCGACTCCTGCACCCCATCATGATGAAGATGCAGATGATGACGACGGAGCCCATCTCGGCGAAGGGCGGATTCTCCACCCACTTCTCTAAAGGACAAGGACAGCTTCATTTGCAGAAAGCCTACAGGGGCATCCTACTGAACAACACGATTGGCAAGATCAACAGCAAGTTCCTGAGAGGCCTCTTCCGCGACATCTTACCCGACCTGCTCATGGACACACAATGCGGCGCCGTCCCTCACAAGGCGACTGACTTCATCACCCACACCGCCTATACCTTCCTGGACGACTGCCGTGCACAGGCTCGCACGGGCAGCATCCTCTTCCTGGACTTGAGAGAAGCCTTTCATTCGGTAATAAGGGAATTCATGTTCCAGCTGCCGACTCAGGAGGACGAGCTCGAAGACGTCATCGACAACATCGAGATTCCCATATGCCTCCTCCCTTCCCTACGACAACGGCTTCGCTGCCCAGCACATCTCAACGCCCACGTCGACGACTCCCACCTCTGCGCCCTCGTTGCCGACCACCACACGGCCAACTGGATGACCGCCAAGGGCACAGACGCATACGTGATCCCACGCACCAGTACCAGGCCAGGGGTGCCATACTCCGACGCGGCTTTCAACATGCATTTCGCCCTAGTGCTTATTTCCAGGTCCATCGGGGAGGGTGGGGGGGGGGGGGGGGCGACGCTGTGAAGGGGCCATAAGACGTGAGGAGTGGCGCACCACATCCGAACCTATGCGACAACCCGCTCTTTCTCTACGGCCCCGGCTCAATGGCGGCAAAAGAACAAAAAAAAAAAAAAAAAAAAAGAAAAAGAAAAAAAAATAAAAAAAAAAACTAAAAAAAAAAAACAAAAATCAAAAAAAAAACACCATAAACGAAAAAAAAAAAAAAAAAAGAAAAAAAACAAAAAAGGAAAAAAAAAAGAAGAAAAAAAAATATACGTCAAAAAAACAAAACAAGCTGACTAACATGTCCTTCGTCGACGACCTCACCGACTTCAACTCGACCACCAGCCACTCCGACATCATTGACATTACGAAAACTTCAGCCGAACGTCTATGCCGCACAGCCTTTACCTACGGGCTCAAGCCACACCCAGACAAGACCAAGGTCATTATCTCCTTCAACGGGACGGGCTCCAACGTCGTACGCAGCAGGCTTGCACAGCAGAACATGACGTCAATCCAGCTGAGCATCATGTCGATCTCGGTCCAGATCACAGACCAGCACCGACTCTTAGGCACTATCCTAACCAACGGCAGCATGGGACCCGAGGTACAGAATCGCATGCGACGAACCGAAGCTTCGGCACGAGCTCTTGAGAGGCAAATCCTAAGACGTCGACACCTACTCCGCAAAACGAAGATCAAGTACGTGCACGCCCTCTCGACCGCCTCGTTGACCTTCAACCATCACGTCTGGCCAGCACTGACCCAGACCGACCACCAGCGCATCTCCAACGCCTACTCGAAGCCCTACCGCACGGCAGCCGGACTACCCAAGACGAACTCGCACCTTCATCATTTCACGGCCACCGAAGTAGTAGCTTACACAGGCATCCCCGACTTCGACCACCACCAGTCTGCTGGACGGCTGCGATACTTACCACGGCTTCTACGACACGCTCCTCAACAGCTCCTCCAACTGCTTGACAACCAGCGACGGAGAAAGGGCTCATGGACATACATGCTTTTCCAGGACTTCGACTTCCTGCGCACATACCTGGACGACCAGCGCTGGCCCGCGACAAGCAAGCTCGACCCAGACGTGTTTTCATGGGCTCGCACCACGCCGAAGCACTTCACCAACTCCGTCAACCTGGCCATCACAAACTACATCCGCGCCTCTAAAGACCGCGCCCACGCCGACAAGCTTACGAAGGCGCCCACGCCGACAAGCTTACGAAGGTGCTCAGACCCGACGGCCCCACTGGTGCGGACACTACGCCATCACGCGACAACGGCGCCTGCAACTTCATCTGCTACGAGTGTGGAATTGTAACCAAGACAAAGCAGGGCATGGCAATACATATCGGACGTGAACACCGACGACCTGATCATCCGCGAAACTGGGCATCGGGTACATCGTGCAGAATATGCCGCCAGAACTTCCACTCCTTCGCCAAGCTAGTGAAGCATCTAACCACGGTAGCCCGCTGCCGACGGTCATGGCACATGTGGTACTTACAGGGACCTGCCCTCACGGAGGAGGACGTGGCCACCAACCAGGCGATCTACGCGACCAGCATAGCCGACAACAAACGCAGAGGACGCCCCGAACTATACCACCATATCCCAGCCCATGCATCCGACGTCACTCCCTTACCATCCCTTGACCTATCACCTTCACCACCGCCATTCTTCCCGACTGTACCAGAGCTCACACCACCACCACCAGCCCACCACCCTCGAACACCGACCAGAAACAAAACTATTTATTACCTCACCAACACAGAGAGACACCCTAACGATCTGCTCGACATCACGGACCAACGACTATGCTATAAGGGAATGGTGATGGAACGAGTTATCATGACCTTCGACGATCTTTACTCTGCCGACCACCCATCACAGCACGACGCCCTCGACTCGATCCACCAGCACATTCGACAAGGCGACTTCGCGGGAGTGATGATCAACCTCTCACCAAGAACGTGGATCGACCTAGGCGACGGCGACCAGCACGACAGAAAAGCAGCATCTTCAAGGACAACCACGGACCCCTGGGGCAGAGAAAGCCTTGGAGGCGAGGCAGCCGAACGACGACTGATCGCGAACCACCATGCCCGCATCGCCATCCACACATTCCACGCGGCTCACGTCGCCGAGGTACCAGTACTACTGGCGCAACCTGCAGCCCCAGCAGGTCCGTCCCTGTTTTGGAACACTGAGATGATGCTCTATGCGACGGAGAGTCTTACCACGAGAAGACCTACCGCGCTAGACGTCACCAGCAGCATCTATGCAATACACTACGGCCTCTCCCAGGAGCACGGCAACTCACTCGACGACTTCGTCGACTCCATTGTGGACCACCAACAACATCATGGAGACCTCCAACCACAACATCAGGGAGACCGCCAACCACATCGTGAACGCCCCCTCTATGGAGAGGGGGGAGAGGACACGGTCCAGGCCTGACCTGGGCCGCCGCCCGCGGGCAGGTCATCATGGGGGTGGCTTTCCTTACTTCTCAGGCCTTTAATGAGCCCCCTCCCTCCTCTCCACTTTGCCACCCCCATGTGGCCACTACCCTCTCCTCTTTAGCGTCTCCCTCCTCCCCCTCCCTGAAACTCCTGGGAATCTCCTGGGCCCTCTCCTGGGCCTTTCTTTTTTCGCCCTTTTTGGCCCCCGCCCCTCCCCTCGCGGAGCCTAAATGGCTCCTTCCCTGGGCATCCTGGCGGGGGTCCGTGTAGGGGGAGGTGGTCCCCCCAGCGCGCCTTCGGCGCACGCGCGGGCCCGCCCGCGCGGACGGCTGCGTCCCGCGAGGACATTGAGCCGCGAGCGAAGCGAAGCGAAGGAGGAGGAGGGGTAGGATGAGGAGAGGCAGGGCTCCGAAGGGGCTTTGATGGGGCGCTCCAGTCAACGGAGCCTGGCGCGCAGGCTGCCGACGACCCCGCCGCCCCCTTACTGTTATCCGCAGCTGCGGGGTGCTACATGATCCCACCAGCCCTCTGGACGCAGGTGGTCTAACGATGAATTTTGTTCCTCTTCCAAAACCCCCTTTCCCCGTCGGAGAGGGGCTCCCCCCCCCTACCACCTCCCCTGGACCTGGACGGGAGGGCCGCGATCGGTTGGAGGTTCTTTGTTCTTTTTTTTTCGGCCCCTGGGAGGGCAATTTTTTGACACCCCTCACGAGGATCGTGGCCCCCGAGAGGGGGGGCCTTCGATCTGGACCCTCTTTCGTTTGATCGATAGCTTCGAAAATCGCCCCAAGAGGCGTTCCAGGGCTCCCAAGAGAGCCCCAAGAGAGCCCCAGGAGGGCTCCAAAATGGTCCCAAGATGCAAAAAAGAGGCCCCCCAAAAGCCCCCAAGCGGCCCTAGACAACGCAAAATGACCTTCAAGATGGCTCACATAGCCCAATCTGGCTCAAAATTGCACCCAAATGCTGCAAACGGCCCCAAGACCGCTCTAACTGAGCACCAAGAAGCGGTTTGCCGGCCCCTAGAAGGGGAGCGGAATTGGGGACCCCCCCTAATCGATGGCCTCCAAAATAAGCCCAACAAACCTTCCAGGGTTACCAAAAGGGCTCCAAGAGAACCCCCAAAACTCCCAGAGAACACCAACAGCAACAACAATCGCAAGAATACCTCTAAATGGTTCCGTGCGTCCTGGCCCGCGTCGTCCTCATCCTAGTCCTTGTCATTTCTTCGTCCTCGTCATCAACCGCGCCCTCGTCGTCGTCCTCTTCGACCCGTTTTTGAATGGGCTGATGGGGATACGCGGAACGTGAAGAATTACTGTTGGTCCCCCCTCGGGTAACGACTGTATTTTCAATAAAAATTCTCTTCCCGGGTTTCTAACCCAGTTTTCTTTCGAAGGGAAAACGAAATGTCACCAAACTGCGTTGTTGGGTCCCGATGTACAACAGCAGAAATTCCCGCCTGGTACTTCCTCACAATGTATTGCAAAATCGTGCTCTCGAGCGGGACGTCCTCACAATTTATACAGGAATCGCGCTCTCGAGTGGGAGTTCCTCGCAATTTGTTCAAGCGCCACGCCCTCGACATTTGGGAATCACGCTTTCGCTTCGGATTTCCTTTGGATTTACGCAGGAATCGCGCTGACGCTCTAAATTTCCCCGCGGTTCATGCTAACGCGCGTTTCAGAAACCCGCTCGCCCCTCGCCCCTTCCTTCCATCCGTCTTCTCCTCCCTCGCCTTGCGGGCCGCGCAAAGTACGCGCTGCATGTAAAACGTCTATGCCCCCACAGGGTTACGATCGAAAACCAAAAAGGCGGGCGGGCATCAAGGGTTTGGAATCTACGCGTTGAGCGGCACGCGAGCAGATGAGAGCGAACGTGTCTTAAAGTGATTGACGCTGTTGTGGCTGTTGACCCTGAATTGCTAAACTAATACTATTGCTGGACACCCTGAATGCGCCTTCGCGCTCTCGCCTCGGCGCCGGCGACAATTCATCTGATAATTAGGCTCGCGCTCAAAAGTTGCGGGGGTGCGCCAAAACCAGCCCCTCAACGACAACAGTGCTCCAGCTCGATACTATTTCCCGTCTGACTCGGGGCCGGGGCTCTTGCTCGTCCCCCAAAGACGACTCCCCAACATAATCGGCGCCGGCGATCGATACTTCCCTGTCGTTCACCTCAGGACCGGCCAGGACCCGCTACAGACAACGACGCCCCCGCTCGATACTTCCTCCGAATTGTCTCTCAAGGGTCCCATGAGGCCCAGGGGCTTCCCTAATCCCGACTTGAACTTAATCGGTGAACAATTATCATAATAATAATTATTGCTGGCAGCTTTAAATGCACTTTCGCGCTCTCGCGCCTGCCCCGCGCGACCTCGCTCTCGTTCGTGTCCTGGTGCGCGGCGTCGTCGCCGTCGTCGCCGCCGCCGCCGCCGTTGTCGTCGTCGTCGTCGTCGTCGTCGTCGTCGTCGTCGTCGTCGTTGTTATCCTCTCTTTCCCTCGTTTCTTCGTCTCCCCCCCGTTGTTTCCTATATTTCCCAATCCTTCCCCCGCTATTCTCTCCGCCAGTTTCCCCCGACTTTTTCCTGCATTTCCCCCTATCTCGCCAGCGTTCCTTATTTTTCCCCCGCTTTCCCTTTTTATCTGTCCAACTGTCACGCCAATTATCCCGCCGGTCGCTGGAACCTTCCCTCTCTTCCCCCACCTTGCCTCATTCCCGTTATTTGTCTATTGTTCTCCCCCTTGCACGCCGGCTTTCGCGCCAGCTTCCAATTCTGTTTCCACCGACTCGCCAATTTTCCTGATCAGTTTCCGGCGACTTCGGCGACGCCTGGCGCAAAACCCCGAATCGGCGCCGTCGCCTGACACATCCACGGCAAGTCGAGACCCCCAGGCTGTTTTTGGGCCCGACGACGACGAAAACGACGTCGACGACGACAACGACGGCGGCAGCGGCGGCGGCGGCGGCGACGACGACGAGGATGAGCCCCGGCGCCATCAGGAAGTGGCCGGCGCAAACAGCGGCCCCCAGGAAGGGGACGAAAGCCTGAACTGTCCACGGGGGATTTCCCTGAGGTTGCGAGGCCTTTCCCGGAGGTCTTTGGCAGGGAGATCGCGAAGGCAATGTGCCATCCGGGCTGGAGACCTCCTCGGCTGGGAGATCAGGGAGAGGGAAAATCGGACCCCAGTGCGCAATGGAGAAGTCCCCCATGATGGCGGGAGGCATCATGATGAATGCCTGCTGCTTATAGAAACATAAAGCATTCATGTAAAATGATTGTTGTTCTTATTGTTGCTGTTGAAGTTGTTTTCGATGTCGTTGTCGTCGGCGTCGTCATTGCGGTTGTTGTTGAACTCGTACTAATACCAAATAATTACTGCTGATCCCCACTGCCCAGTAACCGTTGAATTTTTCAACGGAAGTGCTTCTCCCAGGGCTCGCATTTTTTCCTAAAAAGACAACGAGGTATCGCCAAACTGCGCCCCTGGCCCCCGGCATAAAGCAACCGCGGCTCCCGCCTGATATCTCCGAACAATGTATTCCAAAATCGCGCTCTCGCGCGTGACGTCCCCACAATCTATAAAAAGGAATCGCGCTCTCGCGTGGGACGTCCCTGCAATTTGTTTAGACGCCACGCCGTCGACAGTCCGGAATCACGCTCTCGCTGTGGATTCCAGCACGATGAATGTTGGAAATCGCACTATCGTTCGAAACCTCCTTGCGATCCATGCAGGAC